ATCCAAGCCTGCACCGTGCATTTAACATTTCTCCAGAGAGCGAGTAACAAGTCCCACGCTAGCAACTGAGAACAGTCCACGAACGATGGATATGGCGTGCCAAAGTCTTGTGGACGCATCTCATTTCATCAGTTCCCTGCCACTGCAGGGCCTTGAGCAGTGCTGGTTCCCTGGGCTTTCCCAGTCTTTTTCTTTAACTTAATCTTCCCCAAGAAGTGAAGATCCAGCTCAAGTCTTTAAGCTTAACGTAGATGTACTCTTAATAAAGCTTACTCTCTTACCATATGTAAAGTAACATCCGAAATGACCCTATAGTCTTTGATCTCACATACCACGATAAGATGCCAGGCAGTGCAGCCCAAGAAGAACCAGTAGCCACAGAGCAGCACGCTGCCTACTAGGTTGCATGGCTTCTAGTTCTTTTCAGCTACAAGGAAGTGATGTTTTCAGAAAGACAACACCTGTATTGTAAAACATACCTGGTTTTAATGGGATCATCATACGTGATGCCCTTTGCCATCTCCTTCACTGACATCAAAGCTGCAGGAACAGACCCAAAAAGATCAGCGCAAGCTCTCTATCTCCAGATGCATACCACTTCAGCAAAGCAGCACTTGGGGCAAAGGTTTGGGGGACCATATTCAGAGATGGCTGACAAACAGCAGTACCCCAGAGAGCCCTTCTGGGCACAGAAATACGAGGTGCTGCAGGCCTGGTGTGTCCAGGGGGCAGCAACAGCAAAGTCTTAAAATTAAGTCAAACAGTCACATGCCTGTTGTGGGATCCTGCTATGTTTTCCTTTCCCATCCCTGGATGTAAACGTCGCCAAGCGTTGCAAGCCAACTGACAGTCTCTCTGCTGCAGCGACAGCTCTGGAGACCAGCGTGAGGGACACAGAGCTCCCACGACTCACCTCGTCCCTGTGCCACACTCTCCAGGATCTTCTCTTCCTCCTTCAGCTGCTTCTCCTTGGCTGACTCCTTCCGAGCTGAGGGGAATCAGGGAATCAGTGAGGAGGCTTCAGCACCCTGGAGCCACCCAGCCCTACTGCCAGCTGTTTCCCTACCTTCCGCCTTCTCTTTGAGGTGCTGGTGCTGATCCAAGAGGCTGATGTTAGACTGGGGCCCCAGGGGGATGTCATCCTCGTCGCCCCGCTGCTCGCTCCCGCTGTCCCGCTGCTCCTCCTCTGACACCACCTTCCGCC